CCCAACAATCCGGGTCCTCATTTTACCCACCTCGGAAGGATGGAAGGCTGAGTCAACCCTGAGCCGGTGAGATTTGAACAGCCGAACTGCTGAACTGCAGTCAGCTGAAGTAGCCTGCAGTGCTGCATTTAACCACTGCGCCTCTACACTATCTTTCTACTCCAAATGGAGACCTTCAGAATGGTAGCAAGAAATACTGAAAATTGCAGCATAAAGCATGAAGTTCATCAGATCTACAGAATGAAAGGGCGAAGAAGACTATTTTTTACTGATTGTTCTCGCTCTAGGATTGAACAAGCAGGTTTTGCATTTAATGTCTTTCAGACTCTTCTCCGTATCTGCTCCACTCTGGAGATTGCAGTTCAGAAAAACTCTTTCAGCAGTTCACCCTTTCATTTCAAATAATAGGTTTATAATAGACTTTGATATAGACATTTGATCTAAGCAGGAGAAGGGAATCAGGAAACTTTGTTCCTTCCTTGTACCTTGCCCAAATTAGAATAAGATTGGAAAGAAAGAGAGATGCAAATTATCCTGCTGGAATATGATGAGCCATTTTCTTTCCTTTTAGTACTCCTCACATATGCATTGATGTATTTCCCCTTAAAATATCCTGTTTATATTAAAATTGTATATATTTATATGCGTGTATGCTGGCAAACAGGCATATTGCAAACTTACAGATCTGCTCCTGTTCCATAAATTGAGTATTTTAATTCACCCCAGAGGCCTGAATCTGGATCAATTGCCTGAGGAAGAAAATAAAATGATTGTGATGGGAAGTTCATGAGATTCATATTATACAGTTCTGAAAATTGTTTCATACCTTGCTGCGGAACAGATCATACTAAAGATTCAATATCAGTTTACATGTAAGTGTAAGGTATTAAAATGGCTATTTTTTCAGGGATGAACAATTTTGGGGTAGGAACTTTTCTTTCTGCTACTTCTTAAACCAAATCATCACTATAATATATCCTCGGGAAAAGAGGAGGAGTCTGCTTAATGTATCTGCTTCTTTTTGCAATTTTTGGAAGGTTACCATGCCTTCTAAAATATAGGAGGTACTGGATTTGATTAATGCTCATTGATTTCGATGTGTTGATAAATATAACAAAGGATGACATTTTTGAAGAGAATGATGCCAAACAGCTACACTACCAAGTAGGTTAGAACACAGAAATCAAAATGATAGGGTAGGAAGGGACCTTAGAGGTCTTCTAGTCCAATCCCCTGCTCAAGCAGGAGACCCTAGACCATTCTGCCTAGTCTTAAAAACCTCCACTGATGGAGCACCCACAACTTCTGGAGGCAAGCTGTTCCACTGATTAATTGTTCTCACTGCGAGGAAATTTCTCCTTATTTCCAGGTTGGCTCTCTCTTTAATAATCTTCAATCAATTATTTCTTGTCCTGTCTTCAGGAGAATAGGTGGACCCCTAGATTTCCATGACAGCCCCTCAAATATTGGAAGACTGCTATGATGTCATCCCTTGTCCTTCTCTTTGTTAGTCTAGACATACCCAGTTCCTTCGATAGTTCATAATATGGTTTGGCCTCCAAACCCCTTATCATCTTTATTGCTCCACTCAGCACACTTTCTAGGGTCTTAACATCTATTGTGTATCATGCATTAATAGGTAGAGTATTAAGGAAGTTGTAAGGCTTTTAAAGAATGACATGTACTTACAGTTACAGCAACTACATTGGAACCCCCGGGAGAATTCTCTGGGATCTTGGCGATGTAGTAATCAGATGAAAATTGGGGGATGTTATCATTTGTGTCCAAGAGATGGATCACAATATCGGCCGTTGAACTAAATTTCTCAGGTGTGTCCACTTCTACTGCAAGAAGCTAAGGCCGTAAACAGAGAAGTAAGAATTTGCTCTTTTAAAATATATGAAAGGCTTTCCTTTCTAAGAGATTAACATTGGTGTTCAAATGGTTATAGGGAAAAGCCATCATTCATTGTCATGTTTTGGATCATTTTCCTCCATAAATAAATGGACCTCTATAATGTTTTTGACTCATACTGGGACCTCATTTATTTAGTTGTAGGACTTGTGAGCAAAGCAGGTCACATTTTAGGCCAGATTTATGCAGAACTATTGAAAATATCAAAAGATGGTGCCAGCTTTTAAGCATTATCGTGTATATGGTAAAAGAAACAGATAAAGGTTTCCAAGAGTTGTTAAAAAAGAAGCTTGAAAGTGCAGGTGTGTAGTAGCATGTAAAAGTGCATCAAAAGTCACCTAATGTCTGGCCTGCTTCTATTTGGGAAGTTTGCCCTCTCAACTGATCAAATCAATTCCGTTCCTCAGAGAAATCCAAAGTAAAATGTCCTTGCAATAGTCTCTCCCTAAGAAACTGGTCATGAATTACCTTGGCATTCTCTGATGAAAACTTACAGGTTAAGCGTATTAGAAATACGAGATCCTACCATTTCAGAGATATCCATATTTTCCATGTAAAATTTAACATGTGGATCTGGTCAGTGAGCATTTCAGAAACTTTCAAGTGTTTTAATCTTTGTTTTTCCTGTTGTTCTTCTCTAAAAGGTTTGAAGTTCTGAGCTCAAGGCAGTCCCTAAAGTCCTTTCCCAATTGACAATTGCATTCGGTTTTTTCCTTGACAGCGTTTCACTTCTTATCCAAGAAGCTTCAAAATGGAAGAAGATTCTTAGATGGGAAGCGAAATGTTTTCAAGGGGAAAAAAAAGTCCAGGGGAAAAGCATCTTTGGGACAACCGTGACCTGGATGAAGTTAGAAGAGCAAAAACAGAGTCCATTCCCTCTTTTTAATTCAAGCGTGAACTGAAGAAAGTAAAAGTCATTACAATACCTTGAAGGTTAACTCTTGGAACTTTTCGTAATCGATGGCAGCAGAATTTTCCACTATTATTGTGACTTGGGCTTCATTTAGAACTGTCTGAGGGACAACACGGAAAATTCCTCCGAGCCCAACAAGGTGGAGGTTAAATTTAGCATTTGCTCCCTGTGAAGAAAAGCCATGAAAAGAATTTAGTTCTGGTTATGGTGGCATGAAAGAGCATTGCTCCACTTCTCGTGCAGTATTTGTCCATAAACAAGGTGTGCTCTCTTTATACTTCATTCCCATGTGCAATGGCCACCTCACCCAAATTTCTTTCCATCAGGATTTCTGTACGACCCCCAAGACAGGTACTTTAAAGTGACACAGTGGGATCCTTGCTGTTCTCTGAGCTTGGTGATTTCCTTGCAGACATTTTATTACCAAACTAGAAAACATCATCAGTGTTAGTAAGGAGTGGGTTTTGCAGAGTGGAGGAGGAGAAGGAGAAGGGGGGAGAAGACGAAGAAAGGGAGGAGAAAGAAAAAGAAAGAAAAAGGAAAGAAGGAAGGAAGGAAGGAAGAAAAAAAAAGAAAGAGACTATGATGTCATTGGTGCTCTGAGCTTGGTGGTTTTCTTGCAGACATTTCATTACCAAACTAGGCATCATCAACAGTGCTAGGTGCATCATCAGTGCTAAAGTAACACAGTCAAGTGCTAAATAACTTCTCCACACTCTGAAGTGCATTTTCAAGACTGAACCCAAAGCACTGGATCACTTGTTGTTTCATAAGGTGCAGGATGAGACCAGCTTGGCATCAGCAATAAACAAATCAGGCAAAAATGCATCAAGAATAATGATGTTTTGTAGCCTCCGCTTCAGGATGCAGTTCTATTTCCATTGGACTGCTTTTTGTCACAGGAGCACCAACTGTTTATTTATTAAATGTATTTATTTATTTATTTATTCATTTTACCGGCCACTTCTTACCTCTGGTGCCTTACAATAACAGTTGTGAGATTCTGTCCCAAAAGTTATTATTTTTCACTTCAGGAAGGACACTAAGTTTTCCTTTATTTAGTTATCACACTTCTCTTGCTGTCCATCTCATGAGGGCCACTCTGAGTGGCATGCAGTGAAATAACGGAGACCATAGATAGCCAGTTGATGTAGTGGTTAAAGTATTGGGCTAGAAACTGTGAGTTCCAGTCTTCCTTTAGCCCTGGAAGTTGAATTATTTTGAGTGGCCCAAAATAAAGAGAGAATATAAGTCTACTAAAAATAATAATAGTGTCATGTTGGCCCAAAGTTTAATTATGAACTCCTTGTCCAAAGACTAGATTTGATTTTCAGTCACTGCAAATAGTACACGTAGATTAAGTAAGCAAATCTGAAGTTTTCTTCTGGGGTTAGTTCAGGTTGAAGCTACTCTTGAAGGTTTCCATGGCAACCCTTATCACTTTTTCTGGGGGGAAGCTGCAGAACACTGGGAGACCTTCAGTAAATTATTATGCAAATGAATCTTAAAGGAAGCAGCACTTAACCCAGCTATGATTATTTTTCAAAATCACAATCTGGGATGGGTTTCCTGCAGAAGGATTTGGACAAGAAAATGAAAGAATGAACCAGATAGTGGATATATTTCACCAAGCAATGGAGCAAATTAGTGATGCTATCATCAAGAGAGGGCAATTTCGATGCAAAGAAAGGCCATCAGGCTTCCTGGACACTATTAAGTCCAATATTTGTTTTCAAAACCAACCTAGAAACACAGAAATCTATAGAAAGCTCAAATCTCCTCCCCACGACTGAATGTGCATGACAACATCCTGATGGTATAGGGAGTCAACAGTCAGCTCTATCTGAATTCCTTGGTGAACACCGGAATGTGACATCAACCTCTTCTCCAAAGAGCCTGAAGGCAGGACAAGAAGCCATGGATGTAAACCAAACAAGGAGAGAACCAATCTAGATCTAAGGAGAAATTTCCTGACCATGAGAACAATTAACCAGCGGAATGACTTGCCTCCAGAGGTTGTGGGTACTCCATCACTGGAGGTTTTCATGAAGAGACTGGAGAGCCATTTGTCTCAAATGTTTTAGGGTTTCCTGCTTGAGCAATAGCAATAGCAGTAGACTTATATACTGCTTCATAGGGCTTTCAGCCCTCTCTAAGCGGTTTACAGAGAGTCAGCATATTGCCCCCAACAATCTGGGTCCTCATTTTACCCACCTCGGAAGGATGGAAGGCTGAGTCAACCCTGAGCCGGTGAGATTTGAACCGCTGAACTGCTGATCTAGCAGTAGCCTGCAGTGCTGCATTTAACCACTGCGCCACCTTGGCTCTTAGGAGCAGGGGGTTGGATTAGAAGACCTCCAAGGTCCCTTCCACCTCTGTTATTCTGCTATTCCATCCTATAGCCTGTGATATTGCCATGCAAAAATGCAAGGGGTGGAGCTTGTACAGTGATGTCTTAATGTGTTTTTAGTAACCTGATTATCATCCCATGGATGGTCATGTTTGGAAAGCAAGCAATGGCCTTAAACAGTGGTTTAAGTATGGTGGTATGTTTTTTTCAAGTTGCATTTTTTTTTTCATTTGCTAAAATGGTTTTGATGATTTCAGATTCTACATGCTTGATAGCCTGTTTATTTAACTGATTTTCTTGTGCTTTTGGACCCAGATAGCATCTTAGGACTGTGTGAATCACAGCATTATGTTCACATGCTTATATGAGATGGGATCCTTTGGTTTTGCAAACCAGGATTTAGCATGTAGCATGTTGTGTGAACCCAGTCCTGATACTAGGAGCAGGAAGATAGAAGTTGGATACCTACTGACCTGATCTGAATCATTGACCATAATTTTGAGGCCCCTCAAGGTTTCACCTTCCAGTGGGTGCTCATAGATGGTCAGCTCAAATTGGTTCTGTGGCCCACTTTCTCCATAGAAGGTTGGTGGGTGATTGTTAAGGTCTACCATTCTGATGATGACCGTGGTGGATGCATGAGCAGTTTCGTTGTCTTCTGAACCAATTTCGGAAGCCTATGGCAAACAGGAAAGAAAAAAGGATGAGGAATCTTGCCCTCTCTACGTCCCTTGTTATCTTGTGTTGCCTTGTGGATGCTGTTCCTTCTGCAAGACTTCTGTGACAATAGTAATAGCAATAGTAGAATTTATTTGGGAAGCCACGTAGGAAATGATGCAGCTGTTAGAACCCACAATAATGTTAAATGTATCATTTTTGCAATGATGCCATAACATGCATAAGATTGGATAGTGGGACAGGCGGCATATACATTTAATAAATATATAAAGGCTGCTTTCTGCCACTTGCAGATGCCATGAAACCAGATAAATTTGGATGAGAGCAGATTAATTACTCAAAAAACACATGAAGATAGTTTTCTTTAAAAAAATAAAGCTCTAATGTTCAAACAAGTGATAAGATGAAATAGTTATTTACTAAAATCTTTAGTATAATGAGATCTTTCTTCTGCTTTTGGTTAACCCCCTTTCTTTTTAAAATAATTATTAAAAATTTAAGCCAGGAAGATAAAAACTATAGAATATAATAATTAAGAATGTGAGGAGGGAGGGAGGGAGGGAAGAAGGAAGGAAGAAGGAAAGAAAGAAAAATAGAGAAGGGAGGGAGGGAAGGAAGGCAGCCGAGAATGCAGAAAAAAAATAAACAAGAAATGACTTCCAGTTTTCTTCTATAACATTGTAAGTAGAAATTTAATTTGACCTCTTACACTATGGTTAGAAGATAACTTTCATTTTTCCCATCTGCTGTTTTTTTTCTAATAATCACACCCATTATTATTTTCTGTTTCACACACAAAGTCTCTTTCATGTTCTTTCCTCTTCTTTTGACTCAAAATCACACATGCTGTTTAAGTTGAAAATTGTTAAAGATGCAAAATAGATATCTCATTACCTCAACGTGTGCTCTGACTACACATTCCCTTAGAACTGGGGTCTTGAAAACAGATATTTTTTTTGTCCTGGAGTGATCTCATCATCTTTAACATGCTGTATTTTTTTTTGCTTGTGCTGCTTCCTAAAACCTAGTTGAAACACTTTCCTGACCTACTTTAGTTGCATATGAACAAATTTAGCTATTTATTCCATAATTTGGGGGGGGGGTCATGATTAAATAACATCAGGGTTCTGTTGTGTCAATTATCTTTATGGTAGATGCAGTACAGACTGATGTTCTTGATGCTTCAGTTCTCTGGGGAAAAGTGTGTGCTATTTTTACAGATGTTGAAATCTGCACAGTATAAATCCAGCATAATCATGTCAAAACTAGAGCTTTATGGTGAGAAAGTAAGACAAGGTACCTGGACCTTCAGTTCATATACTTCTTTCTTCAGTTTAGTTGGGTTTTTAACAACAGAAATAGCTCCCGTTGCATTATTTATTTCAAATGAACCTTCACTTCCTGTGAAAAACAGAGATATGCAAGGTTAGCCCTGGAAATTTTAGTTCTCTGGAAAGAAGAGCCACACAATCCTGTTGTCATGATGCAACTAGTTGAATCCAGCAGTGAATGACCTTGGATGGGGTCCTACCACAGAATAATGAAGTTACGTGGATTTCCCCAAAGGCCTTCCTGTCTGGAGAATTTGACGGGATCCCAGAAATTATCTAATGTCTGTGTCAAGGAAGAAGATCATCCCTCTATTAAATCTGAAAGGTGAGCAGAATCCAAGAGGTAATCTGTACTCAGATAGTTTTCTTGGTTCCTGAAGACAGGCATGAAAGCAGTCTTAGATTTTTAAGAAATATTGGTTTGGACGTAACATAGAGATCATTTGAGCATATCTGCTAAAATAAATAGGCTTCAAGATAGCTACAAATGAATTAGATTGTGTTCCTTTCAGCCTGTGCTAAACAGAATTGCATCCTCATTCAGCTTATTGTGATGAAATGGTCATTCCTTCTTCTTTCAAAAACATTTTTCTGCTCAATGTCTTTCTGAGAAAAGCAGAAGATATGTGTATTTTTAAATTTCAGTAAGCCGAAGGGAAGAGATTTCAGGACCCTGAAGAGCAATAAGCAAAACTATCTCTAAAAACCCAATTTAGGATAGAAATAATACTTTTTCTCAAACAAAATGGAGACTATGAATAATAAACCTTGTTTCCGTCTCTCCCAGAGAGCTTCGGCTGGGTTGGAGGAGAGATGGACCCAGGCCCTAAATCAGCAAGAGACAGTGGCTTTTGCTCAGAAGGGGAAATCAAGAATTTTCTTATTCTTCCTAGAGAAAGGGCCCAAAAACAGAATAACACAGCTGGAAGGGACCTTGGAGGTCTTCTAATCCAACTCTTTGCTCAAAAAGGAGTCCCTACACTATCTTAGACAAATGGTTGTCCAATCTTTTCCTAAAAACCTGCAGTATTGGAGCACCCACAACTTCTTGAGGGAAATCATTCCATTGGTTGATTATTCTGATTGTCAGGAATTTTCTCCTCGGTTCTAGGTAGCTTCTCACCTTGATTACTTTCCATCCATTGTTTTATCTCCTGCCTTCAAGTGCTTTGGATAATAAGTTGACCTCCCCCCTCTTATTTGTGGCAGCCCTTCAAATATTGGAGACCTTGGAGGTCTTCTAGTCCAACCCCTGCTTAGGCAGGAAACCCTACATCACTTCAGTCTTTCTTTTCATTAAACTAGACATAGTTGTTTTTTACATTTTCATGCAAGAATACCAAATTGGTAGTAGGGAGGTGATGTAGCATCAACTATAAGTTAGAAAATGTGCCAATGTGTTTGGAGGAGAATTGGGAAATGTATTTTTGTGCCTAGCAGAGTCCCCAAAGAATCAGCTGTCTGGTGGACAGAGACTGAATTAACTGTTTTGGGAAAATGGGAGCAGCAATGAGACAAAATAAACTTGACTGATTCACACACAGGAAGAGCTGTGATTTTCCATCTCTTCACCGGCCCAGTTGGGGCTGGAGTTGGGGCTGGTGGTTATAGTTTTGATGATGTTAAGTTCATTTTTAAATGAAACACATTTTTCTAGCGAGTCAAGCTTAAAAAGGCGAGATACTGCACGGATGGTTTTCAGGAACTGGGCCATTCAGTGGCAAGGTTTCTGAGGGGAAACCTGAAATACATATTCCTAGCATTGAAGATTGTCCAATGTTCAGTGAAGGATGAAAAATCACAAATCACCTGCTCTTCCTGAACAGTAACAACAGAAGTCTGGAAAAGCAGAATTTGTGGATAAAGTTGTCCTGGATCTCTCTATAAAGCCGCTCTAAGGATCCAGGCCCTACCTTGGAATGCCAAAGTATCGGCTATATGAAGCTTAAGCTGATTAAAAAGAGAGAACATTTTTAATTAGCAGATGTATAATTATACCTCCCAGCCATGAGAACATCTCTCATAATAATGATAAGTGAGAAGATTTAACTTTCACAAGTTTCATTTGTTGCGCACATTTCTGGAGGGGGAAAAACACACACTCTGTTACACACTTTTTGCAACAACTTGAAATCATCCTTATGTCAAGTATGAATGTCTTCTAATTTGCCCCAAACCAACCAACATGTGAAGGGATAGGAGTCAGAAAGTTAAACCCTCTTGCAAACAACAGTTGCTTTTAGGAGCAAGTGGTTTCATTTTTCCAGGCCGATGGCTGAGTTTGTGATTCAACAACAAGCCTAAAGCAACACAACCACCAACGCAGGGGATTTGGGGAATCATATGAGGTCACACGTTGGGCAAGTGCAAATTGGAAGTGCATACACAAACATTTTCAGAATATTTTACAGCAGTTGCCCTAGGAAATCATTCTGGTAGGTATCGTCAAGGTTCTCTTCTTTCCTCTACCTAGCTCAGTTATGTCTTCCCAGTTACACCAACCACTTACCATTCATAATGCTGTAATATATGTCATTAGGTATTCCCCTGTCTCCGTCAATGGCAACAACAGTTATAACTTCCGATCCCTAGGGAGAAAAAGGAAGAAAAAAATCTTTATATCGAGAGGCCTAATTGTCAGGATTTCCCTTGTCAGCCTGGTACTTTCCTGGCATCCCTCCATCAAAGGGGAAGGGAGGGGGAGGCATTTGGGAAAATCCACACATGTGTATCTATTAGTGGAAAATGGGGTCCTGACATGTGAAGAAGTCCAGAGCTGTTTATACTGGTTATGCTGGGCATCTTCAAGGCCACTTACCCTGGGTGTGAAATTCCACCAGCCTAAACAACCCAGAGTTTCCCACAACATTGCAGGGATTGGGTAGCCATGGGCCAGAGATTTGGGGGTGGGTGGGAAAGGAGAATGATGGGTTTGGCTCTTTGTGTCAGTGAGCAGGAACTTCAGATTCTGCCTTCACTTTCCTGCAACCAAAATCTTTGGTAAAAGTTCTTTTTCACTTCATCAACTGGAGTAAAGAGTTTGCTTTCCTAAATGATGGTTTGGGGGCAGATCTGACACTAGTGAAGTAAAAAGAATGTGAAGTGTTACTCTGAGGAGATGAGATGGGACATCATAGTGGTAGGGGAAACTTGCAAATGTTTTTTGGAAGGAGACTAGACTAGACTAGACCAGACTAGACCTTTTTATTGGCCAAGTGTGATTGGATACCCAAGGACTTTGTCTCTGGTGCATAAGCTCTCAGTGTACATACAAGCAACAAAGTGATAAGTCATAGATCATAAACCACAAAATACAATTATAATCATAAGATACAAACAGCAAGTGAAAAATAAGAAGATGAGAATGATGAGAAGATGACAAAGATAATAACAACACAGCGTGCTACATGGTTAAATATCCTTTGGTATAAGACAGTACTGTGGGATCTAGGTGTTCAGCAGAATGATGGCACAGGGGGAGGGGGGAGCTATCTTTGTGCATGTTGTTTTGGCATGCAATGCCCTGTAGCAGTGTCCTGAGGGGAGCAGTTAAAACAGTTTATGTCCAGAAAATGTCTGTAAATATTTTCTCAACCCTCTTTTTGGCTCGTGCAGTATACAGGTCCTTCGTGGAAGGCAGGCTGGTAGCCATTGTTTTTTCTGCAGTTCTAACTATCCCTTGAAGCTTGTGCCTGTCCTGTTTGGTTGCTGTGTCAAACCAGACAGTTACAGAGGCACAAATGACAGACTCAATGATTCCTTTGTAGAACTGTCTCAGGAAATCCTTGGGCAATCTGAGCTCTATGAGTTATATTGTACTGAAGCCCAAAAGTCAATGTCCTGATCTTTGGGTTTCAAGATGACTATCAATATTTCTATATATGTCTAGGCTACTTTTAACTCAGTTGAGATGTTAGCTTTCAATGTTCAGTCCAACATGGGACCATCAGAGCTCCAGTTGAGACATCTGAAGGTCCAGGATCATGTAGAAGGGTCTATGTGGACATAAAACATCTCCTCTGCTTTGTCTTGAAGACCTAACCATGAAATCCTGGAAACTTTAAGATTCCTGAAACGCTTAGGCAACTGAATTACTTTTGTCTAAAAACTATTTGTCTAAAAAGAAACGTGGATGGCTTCTGGTGTCTCCTTGCCTGATTATGTTTTAATATGGAAACTATCCAAATACTGAATTGGAAATTGGATGATTTAGTCCTTCTGCCTAGGCTGGAGATGAGATTGATCTAAGGACCACACAGCTGCATGAACACCACACTTCAAGAAAGAACAGATCAACACTGAAAATGGTGTGTTTTTGTAGGGGTTATTATTCTCTAAATAGTCAATCCTTGATTCTCATGTATGTTCAGCTTGCATCTGATTAACTGCTCTTCACTACACACATGATGACGACTTATATGTTTCTGAAATATGTGACAAGGAAACATGACTGCCTATCCTGCTTGTCCTGGAGGTATCAGCACCCCGGTATTCACATCTTATCAATAGATAATAAATATATTTTCCCTCAGAGGTCATTAATGCTTAATTGCATTGTTTTCTTCAGTGGTTTCCATGTCAAAGTCCTCTATTTCATTGTTAGGGTGTTTCCAGATCACTGGTTAATAGTTATATTAAGTTAATTATTATCTTTCAACATTTTATTGCCACAATTACAAAGTGAAAGAAAGACACCTCCAGTATTCCCAGAAATTTGCCATCTGATTGGGAAAACTATCTAAATATGTATGGTAAAATATAGTGCTACAAAACAGAAATGTCTGCAACACAAGATTAAAAAAAGTAGGAAGAGGAATCAGCTATAAATAAAAGTTGGGTGGCAAACTCCAGAGCCAATTCACACACTGGCCTGGACTCTTGGTTGATTTTAAATCCATTTGTAGTCTTGCAAATTAAAACAGGATTAACCAAAATCTCATAGGCAGTGATAAGTTGGACTTGTATCTCTGCTGAGACTAAATCCTGCAGTTGGACTGGATTATTTGTTCTCTTTTCCAGTTTGCCAGATTGTAGTAGCATGGAGGAGTGTCCTTAGAACTAAACATAAAATTACATTCTTGCATTGTATCCATGTATATTGCATGTATTATAGCAATGTGAATTCATTGCAGAAAGAGGCAACTTTTTAAATACCATTTTTATCCTCTCCCTTCTATTTCTATTGTCTAGCTGAGAGTTTTTTCAAACTTGGCAAGTTTAAGAGTTCAACTCCCAGAATTCCCCAGTAGCATTAAAGCCTTAGTAAGACCACACTTGGAATATTGCATCCAGTTTTGGTCACTACATTATAAAAAAAGATGTTGGGGCTTTGGAAAGAGTGGAGAGAAGATCAACCAAGATGATTAAGGGCCTGGAGACTAAAACGGATGACAATCGATTGCAGAAATTGGGTCTGGCTACTCTAGAGAAAAGAAAGACTATGGGTGACATGATAGCAGCCTTCCAATATTTGAGGGGCTGCCCCAAAGAAGAGGGAGTCAACTTATTTTCTAAAGCAACCGAAGGCAAGACAAGAAAGAACAGACGGAAACTGATCAAAGAGGGAAGCAACCTGGAACTAAGGAGAAACTTCCTAACTGGGAGGACAATTAACAGGTGGAAGAGAAATTGCCTTCAGAAGTTGTGGATACTCCATCACTGGAGCCTTTTAAGAAGAGACTGGACAATCACTTGTGTGAAACCCTATAGGGTCTCCTGCTTGAGCAAGGGGATCGACTAGAAGACCTCCACGGTCTCTTCCAACTCTGTTATTCTGTATACTTGTCTCTTTTTCATGCGTGGGACAACCATGGATTATATACCGTAATAGCTTCCCCAAGTCCCTCTTCAATGGTTCTTTCATATCAAGGTCATTTCTGAATTGCAATACAATCGCTCAATGGTTTTTCATTTCCTGTTTTAGCAGAATCTCCCTGTGCTCTTCTGTTGTTTCTACAGATCTGCTGAAGCAGCAGGCTGAAAGAAGTGGTGGGAGTTTTAGTTTACTTTATTGTCATTGCACATGGTACAATGGAATTAAAGGGATGTCAGCTGGCATTGTGTGGACATTCTGCAAATACAGACCTCTTTACATCTCAGCCATTTTGCTTTGAGTTCCCCTTCCAGAATCCAAACAGACAAGAATATTTGTAGCTCAGAATTGAACTGGGGGGTTCTTTTCACTCTCTGAGTTTGGTGTTTTTTCTTGCCGACATTTCATTACCAAACTAAGTAACATCATCAGTGCTCAATGGGAATGGGATTTATTCTCTGTTTATGTACAAGTGGCTTGCCCTGTCAGTATTGGTGGGAGTGGTCTTGGCAGTTGCTGAATTAGGCTATTGTTTATGGTTAGCTTGTTTGTCTCAGTTGATAAATCTTTGTTTCCTCTACCCCACTTCCCTCTAGCATTGATGCTATTACCTAGTTGGATAATGAAATGTCTGTAAGAAAACAACAAAGCTCATGGAGCATCAAGGACCCACAATCCTCCTCCTCCCTCCCTCCACCTCCTCTCTTCCTCCCTCCTCCCAAACTCCCCTCCCCTCTAGCACTGTTCATGTTACCTACTTTGGTAATGAAACGTCTGCAAGAAAACCATGAAGCTCAGAGAGCACCAAGGGCCCCTTGGAATCCATACTGTTTGGGTGGGGTAAACAGGACCCCCATAATACTCACCACCAGTGTGTCCTCATACACATACCCATAGTAGGGTGTGCCCACAAAAATTGGTGGCGTGTCTTGAATATCCTCAACATTGATTGTGATGGTAGTTGTGGCTGAAAATACCTTGTGATTTCCACGAAGCTTTCCCCCACCATCCTGGGAGTCAAAAATAATTCCAAGATTGTTATAAACCACTGGATCAACCCACAATTGATATAGGATCACTAAGTGATCACCAGTTTATCATTAGAAATTGTACCATTTCCCATGATCTGCACACCTGGTTTGCCATTACGAGTTTACCCTTTTGAGGAATCTATTTTACCTTAGCCACTGCAGTCACGAAAAAAGTTCTTGCTTTTTCGTAGTCGAGGCTGGTCCCTGTTTTGATGCGAAGGACACCGCTGTGACGATCTATGGTAAATTTATTTGTATGGATATTCTGGAAGAAAGAAAGAAAGGAAACAAGAAAGGGAAGGAAGGAAGAAAGAAAGGGAAGGAAGGAAGGAAAGGGGGGAGGAAGGAAGGAATAAAGAAAGAAAGAAGGAACAGGAAGGAAGGAAGGAAGGAAGGAAGGAAGGAAGAAAGAAAGAAAGAAAGGCAACATTGCACTGGCTATAATTAACTGGTTTTTCAAGATAAGACTCTCTCAAGTTGAACTTGGCTTTCAAAGACATCATTAAGACAGTCATTTTGGGCAGACAAAGGGAAAGGATCTGGCAAAGACCTTTAGGAGGAAACGTTGACCATCTCTACCCTACCCATCTTCAATTTGGCAAAAACAAATCCCAAAGACCAGGAAGCGGGACATGTCCCACCATCTTTTCACTGCTCTCCACTACATTAGATGCAAGGCATGTTCTTTCCTTCTGCAGGAGAGAGAAAAGGACATTGAGAGTTCAAGGACCTTTTATAAACAGCATCGACTGGTAATATTTCAGAGAGAGCCTTCTATTTATGGAACCAGCTGAAGGACTCAAAGGTGCTTTTTCAAAAGGCAACTGGACTTTCTTTGTTTTTCCTTAAAGACATTTTGCTTCTTCAGTTCTTCAGAACAATGGTTGTTCTTTGGGACAACCATGAGTTGGATGACCAAGAACCTCTGTAGATACCGGTTCTTTTTGCTGTCCCTTTCCTAATGCTTGTGTGCAGCCCTAACACCCTGGCCAAATTTTCTAAGATCTACAGTAGGAAGAAAGGATTGGTGACCTCTAACAACGTTAGTGGCTCTAACAATGCAAAGAAGGCTGTGTAGCCCTCAGTGTTCTCCAAGCACCCTGAGATTCAAAAGGGACCATTTTCAGTTGCATGAATTTTATTTTATTTTCTTTCAAATATAATCGAAGAAACAGTAGAAGGTGGGAAATGCTTGCATATCTAATCTAACCCTGAATCCCAATCCTTTCTTAAATGATAAGTTCACCCCAAAGCTCCTTTTAACATCCATGGTTATTTATGGAGAACATTAGGGAGAGAACAATGGTTTAGATTCCTTACCCCCACAAGATAACTTCCCACGTCCAAGGACTTTTGGATGGCAGAGGACTGTGGGTTATTTTTTATGTATTAAAACATGGATTTCCTAATTTTATAATTTTACCCTTCTATTCCTGTTCAGCTCATCAAAACCAAAGCAAGATAAAACACAACATAGTAATTCAGATTTTAAATTTAACTTATAATACAACCAGTAAGAAGGAGAAAAAATCCAAGTCAGTGTTAAGCAAAACCAAACAACATTTTTCAAAAAAATTCAAAGAAGCAGGTGGTAATAGAGACCTGGGAAAATAAATATGAACTTAAACATCAGGATGAACTTGTGAGGAGGACTCTGTTTCAACAGAAGAATAATAAAAACCCAGAAGCCCTGAAGACTCCTTCGAGAAGGAATGAATTGTCTTCCTCTCTATCTCGGTCATGAACAAAACAGGGCTTGGCTTGCGTGTTGCTCCTATTAAGCAGATTACATTTAATCCTCCTTAAATCTGTGTGCTTTCAAAAGAAGCTACTCGATCAGTTGCCCTAGATCTGCTCCCATGCTACAATAATTGGTTTCTTGACATTTCCTAAGTCTTTAAATTAGGCAAGAAACAACATTATTCTGCCATGATATTTTCTTTTTATCTTGTAAATTGTACTGGTTTAGATAACAACCAACTTTATTTTATTTGGATGTTTAGTTTTGGCAATGAATAAACTCATATCTGTGGTCCCTCCTTCAAAAATGAACTCCCCCACCACCAAAAACAATAAATGTGAGGTAAATCCATTAGGGTCCAAAATGGGGAGTGGGGAAGGCTACCTCTAACCTCCATGCATTCCCAATATATTCCTGTGTTTTCAGACACATTGCTCTTAAGTCAGAATCAGAGGAACTCAGCTCCTGATCAGAAATCTCAATGTTTCTGATCTCTCTCTCTCTCTCTCTCTCTTTCTCTCCCCCTCCCTCCCTCCCTCCCTCTCTCTCTCTCACAGCCCTTCCTCTCTAGAACAGCATCTCTCTGGTTTCCCCCCTGATCATCTTCTAACCACCTTTCAAAACCTGACTGTTCTCCCAGGTCCCGGGTGGAGCATCATGAGCCCAAAGTTGTGCATCTGTTTCTTCCAGAGCTGCAGAATCCGTTTCTTTTTTATCTTTTTGTTCTTTACTTTTTAAAACCCACAAGCCATCTGGAATGGTTGGTCCCCTTCTAAGTTGAATAAAAGCCAAACGGCCCAAAGACTCTGTGTCTTTTAAGCTTTAGCTTTACCTGCAGGAAATAGTTAATGCTGCCTCCTGAGCCTGTGTCTCTGTCCACTGCTTCGATTTTGAAGATGCTGCTCCCAACCGGCATGTTCTGAAAATCCAGAAAAGAGTTGAATTGGGCTTGAAAGCAAGAACGGCAATAGCAAGAGATGGGATGCAAGAATAGAGTGGCCGAAGGTGGCCAGGTTGGAGAAAAAGTAGGTGAGAAGAAACGAATAATAAAGGAGAAGACCCCACTGCCTAAATGAGAGTGCACTGGAGAAGGAAACCATGAGAGGCCCTACTGAGATGAAACCAACAAACAAATGCAAGGAATGTATCGTCTTCTCCATCCCCACTAGCTTCACAGTGATGAAAGGAGGAAATAGGAAAGCAATCTGTTGGTTGTAGATTTCCCAAGAAAAATAACATATGATAATTATGTAATATTCAACAGACATGACTTGTAGAACTGGACCTTCTCAAATACATGTATATGTTGGTTAATACAAACCCAATCACACAGCTCCCCCCTCCCCTCCATCCCTATCTCTATCCCCTCCCCCACTTTTGTTCTATATAATTCAAGATAGTGGACATACCTAATAACCAGGTGAGGTGGGTTGGGCTGAGAGAGCGAGAGCAACTGCTCCAATGCTACCCAGCTGGCTTTCATTGCTATCACAAGGCTAGAGCTTACAATCTCCTGGTTTCTAGAGCAGCATCTTACCACTAACCAAAGTGGCTACCATATGAGTGTGAAAGCTTTGTCCTTCATGCAGCTTCATCATTCCAGCCATCCAAGAGCCCAAGCAAAACCCACCAACCTCTTGGACTTGAACGATGTAAGGCGTGTTGATGAATTCTGGTCTCTCGTCATTTGCGTCTGTTATAACGATTCTGACCTTTTCCGCCACCTAAAATTGAACATGTGAACAGTTCAGGCAGGCAGGCAGGCAGTGTGAGTGACACGCAGTCCTGTGCATGCTTGCTTGCTTATTGCATCCTAGTCTACTGGTAATGGAAGAAAGAAATATGGCGGTAACAAAGGACTACAGTATAAAGATGGAAAAATACAGCCTGGAGATTTAAGCAATCGGGATAGTAACAGCAGTGAGTCTTCCAAAGATCTTATTGGTTACATTCAAGGAAATTAATTATGTTCAGAACAAAAGAGAAAAATTCAAATCAATGGCTTTTTTTAAAAAAACGGAACATTTCCTTTTAAAGGAGAGAATAGCTGAAAAGCAAACGTCTTAGAGGAGTTTCAGATCAAGCAGCAAAGTCTGAAAGATTTCTGAGATTTTAGATAATTCAGTGCAAAAATACCTCAGCTTGAGGTATTCCATGTGATAGACCTTTCAATTTCTCCCAATATGTGAAACCATAGAGTTGTATTGATCGTGCTGAGCTATAGCTGGTTTTAACTAGACTATTGTCAAAGCCATCAGAGCATAGATCACACCCAATACTAAGCTAGAAATCACAACTGGAAAATGGCAATGGCTGACTTCACAGCTCATAGCGAAGCCAAAATTAAACCAACCACATGACACCTTGTGTGACATTTATTTGAACAAGAATGTAAGGACACAGCCCTGTTAGTACTGGTTTTTCTGGGTGAAGTCAGAGAGTAGCTCAATAAGGATTTGGGAAAACTCCAGGTTGGGACCCATGGTCCACACACTCCAATTAGCATATAGGCAAAAAATAAATTTAGATTCGTAATAGTTTTGAAGACCAAATGAATGAGTGGATTAAAGAGCCTGAGATCGGATGGACATAAAGTTGAAGTCAAGGCACTGAATTTTCAGGATAGTCTCACATACACCCAAAGAGATAAGTATCAACAAATTCAAATAATTTTGGATCATGTGGAGACATTGCCTGAACCATGTTACCCTCTAATGATCTTCTTTCATTCCTTGAGTAAAACAGCTTCTTGTCACAAAGATCTTCTAATGTGAATGTTTGGCTTCTGTCTGATAATCAGAAGCTGGACTGAATTTATAACTATGGAATCGGCTTTTAAGGGATTTATCCTGGCAATGATCCAGGTAGCAACACAAGGATTCATTGTCACCCAGATTTGAAAATAGATACAGGATGATTCAATTTGCAGTTTGAGAACAGCAGCCCAAGCAGGGATGTGTGACCCAGTGAAGATGGAGCGAGGATAGGTGAAGAAAAGGCTGGGACCAGACTCAGACATGAGTCATCTTAGAACAGGGCTTAAGATCAATCAATCAGAGTAGAGCTGGAAGGGACCTTGGAGGTCTTCTAGTCCAACCTCCTGCTCAAGCAGGAATACCATTCTGAACAAATGTCTGTCCAGTCTCTTTTTAAAAGCCTCCAGTGATGGAGCAACCACAACTTCTGAAGGGAAGCTGTTCTACTCATTAATCGTCCTCACTGTTAGGAAGTTTCTCCTCAGTTCCAAGTTGCTTCTCTCCCTGATTCATTTCCATCCATTGTTTCTTGTCCTGCCTTCAGATGCTTTGGAAAATAAGTTGAGCTCCTTCGTGGCAACCCCTCAAATACTGGAATACCTGCTATCATGTCCCCCCTGGTCCTTCTTTTCTCCAGACTAGCTAGACCGAATTCATGCAACTGTTTTTCCTGTGTTTTAATCTCCAGGCCTTTAATCATCTTGGTTGTTTATTTGCTTAGGTGTGAAGCAGACTTTCATCTCTACGAAATGGAATATCTGTAATGATTGAAAGCCCGTTTCTCTTGATATACTCACTGTGCTTAATCCATCAGAAATATTAACAACCACTTCGATCTCGTCTTGTGTCTGAGGATGTAAAGAAGGGTATATTTTAGCAATTGTTCATAACGTACAAACACCTGATTTCTCTTCGCTTTGGATTTAATAAAAAATAGGCAACGCAATCCCGCAACATAAATGCTACAGTGCAAATTTACAACAGGAGTGTCTGAGTGACTCCCCAGAACCAAGCCCTGGAAGTTCAACAGGGCTCTCAGATCCCTGACCTGATCCTGCTATACAGATGGAGAGAGGGGGGGGGAGCATGGGGATAAGCTGTATTTTTAAACTCTTTTCCTGGCGCCTGAGCTCCCTGCAGGGTTCTCACTTTCTTTGGAATGTAATAAGGAGAGGGAGGCATGTGGATTGTTTAAGGCTCCTTATCTGTTTCTCAGGACGGCCATTACAAAAACATCTTTACACCTGTGGATTGGCTGAATCCCCATCCGGACTGGAGGGAGGGATTCTAAGGCCCTATTTCTGCAGTTTGCAAGGGAATTTAGAGTCTGCTTCGCCTGTCCTGCTATCCCGTCTTCTTAATAAAAGGTTCCTTCTGAAATACCACGTTTTCAAGAGTCTACTCTTTCTTGGGAAAGGAGGAGAAGCAGGTTCTGACAGAAAACAGAAAAATCCATCTAATCTTACTTCAAGGCAAATATCTCCATGGGGTAGTCCTCAACTTACAACCACGATTGAGCCTGAAATTTCTGTTGTTAAGTGAGATATTGGTTAAGTGAGTTTTGCCCCATTTTGTGACCTTTCTTGCCCCAGTTATTAAAGGAATCATTGCAGTTGTTAAGTTAAGATAAGATGGTTAAATGAATCTGATTTCCCCTTTAAGGTTGTAAAAGGAGATCATACAATCCCAGGACATAGCAACCATCATAAATATGAGTCAGTTGCCCAACATCTGAATTTTGATCACGTGGCCCTGGGGATTCTGCAAGGGTTGTAAGTGGGAACTTCTGTCCTGTCCCTTTTTTTAGGGCTGTTGTGACTTCCAACAGTCACTAACCAAACTAAAAGGACTCCCTGTATCCAAATTACCCCACAAAAGGAGGCGGCCATGAAAAATAGCACAAATATTTGTCATAAGGAGGATCTGAGGATGCTGGGGGTATCATTACCATAGATTCAGCTGTGGATAGCAGTATAAGTGAGGATGCCCAGTGCTCAATAATGGGGAAAAGACATTTGAGTATTTATTTTAGCAACCAAGGTACATTTGGCTCAAACCCCTCGAGACAGGAGATGCACTGAGCATTCCTCTCCTCCAGCAAGGATGATGCCTGTGAATGTAACAGGGAGAAGAGTTCTAGACTGCAGCTCTGGAACTTCTTTCAAACAATAGGAAATCTCTAATCATCTGATTTCCTCAGCACCATCCCTTTTTGAATGTTAAATAGCCTAATTCACACCAAGATCCCTACCGCAGCCATGGGAAAATAAGATTTCGAAAAAGATTCTTCTGGGTCATACCTCCCGATCAAGCTCTGCAATCAGGGTAACATTTCCAAAGTTTTCATCCACGGAGAAGTATTTTCTTGCTCCGGCATCAAAGGTAATGCCATAGGTTACCGGATCTCCTTCCGGATCTGTTCCATTTAGTGTATAAACATGCGTGCCTACAACAGGAACAGTTTTTGATTGTTATTTTCATTGTACAGCTTCTCAAAGGTTTTTCAAATCTTTTGGTTATGAATTGATGTTATTATTGTTAAAACAGCTATTATGGAAATTATGCTAATCACTAATTTGTAATGTCCATCACTCTGGAAAGTCAGTTCTGAAGTTCTCCATCTATTTTGGATTATTTCTGTAGCACTTAATTGACCAGGTGCATCTTTCTGTGCCATCGAGTCTGATTTGACTCCTGTCAACTCTCTGAAAAGATCTCTGCAGGGTTTTTTGGCAAGATCTCAGAAGTGATTGGCCATTTCCTCCTTCCTAGGGCTGAAAGAGTGTGGCCGGTTCAAGGCCACCCAGCTGGCTTTCTGTCTAGGATGGGACTAGAACTCACGGTGTCCCAGTTTTTAGCCTGACACCTTAGTCACTGCACCAAACTGCCTTCACTGGTTCCATCGACCGACTGAACTTGACTGACCACAGAAAAGCTAAGCAAGACCAGGACTGGTTAGTATTTGGATGGAACTAAAGGTGGAACTCATTCCTCAGAGTTTTACTTGCAACAATCGTTATCTGAGATAGGTTGGACTGAGAGAGAGAGAGCTTCCATATCTAAGAGTAGGTTTCAACTCTCTGGGGTGACAGTCCGAATCTTGATCACTACACCACACTGATTCTCCTGCTCTCGTCTTCTAATGGCTCAGTCTGGAATTACTCATTATTATTATTTTTTTAAAAAACAATGAGTAAAAATAAAGCTGGATTAGAACATTTAAAATGAGAGGAATGGTGTCTTCATAAGAAATTATCTCCCAGATAATTGAGGCCAGTTGAAATGGTTCATCAATTATTTGTGGTCAGCTGGTTCTTTGGAGAAAGACACTTCCGTCCAAATTATCCAAGCATAATTTCCTTGACTAAGGAAGGTTTCAGAACCTCATTGTTATGGGGCAGAAAAATGCTGTAGGAGACAAGTCGAGGTATGTATCGAAAAGTGTAATTCAAGCATTGTGAGAAGCCTTTTAGACTCAGTCTCAGTTTGACGCTCATGGAGATTAATTGAGCTGTTCAATCATATAGAGATGAAGGAAAAAATAATAATGTGAAATGCAAAGTCTTATCTCCAAGACAAATGATGGACATGGCTCTATAAAATCCTAATCCTAATGTGATGATCCTAATCCTAACTAACTCCGATGATGTTACCTAGTTGGGTAACGAACCGTCTGCAAGAAAACAACCAAGCTCAAAGAGAACCAAGGAGCCCTCATGCCAACCCTCAGCTACAAATATTCTCTTTAATTGATACCCAATCCTCACCTTCAGCACGTTTCCTGACCCCAAGCAGGAAAGAACATTATGGGGTGAAAAATGTGAACCCCTCATAACCATGGATTGTTATGGATTTTTTTAAAAACAGTGTTATAAGTCTGACTTATAGAAATAAGATTTTTTTAAAAAAGAATTGAATTTGTCCATTTATTGGAAAATTCAAGGACCTTTCAATACTTACACCTGACCACACCACAAAAATGTCCTCCCAAAACGTCTTTTTTCCTGCTACATTCCCAAGAAGTCACTTTCAATCTGTTTCTAGTTAAAGAATCAGGCAGGGTTAAGCCATTCAGCCCTGGGCTGGTGTTAAATTTGTCCTTCCTTCCCTATTCTGACACCATCCAAGAGTGCATGAATCATTGGGTAATGTTTATATTCCCAAAAAGAGAGGTGATAAAAAAACAAAACAAAACTGGAAATGGCAACAGGGATAGCACATTTTGTGCTTGTCAGAGGTTTTTGGAAAATTGTGGATGGCTAGAGAGGCCTTTAACACCACAGTGGGGAAAGACAGAAGCATAGAATCAAAATCATGTAAAGTATTAGTACCTCTTTATAAAGTCTTAGTAAGATCACATCTGGCATATTGCATCTAATTTTGGTCACCACATTACAAAAAAGATGTTGAGACTTCAGAGAAAGTGCAGAGAAGAGCAACTAGAATGATTAAAGGCCTGGAGGCTAAAACATAAGAAGAACGGTTGCAGGAATTGGGCATGGCTAGTCTAGTGAAGAGAAGCATCAGGGGAGACATGATTGCAGTCTTCCAGCATTTGAGGGGCTGCCACAAAGAAGAAATGGTCAAATTATTCTCCAAAGTACCAGAGGGCAGGACAAGAAACAATGAATAGAAACTAACCAAGGAGAGAAGCAACCTTTAACTAAGGAGAAATTTCCTGACAGTGAGAACATTTAACCAGTGGAACACGTTGTCTCCATACGTTGTGGGTGCTTCATCACTGGAGGTTTTTAATAAGAAACTGGACAATCGCTTGTCTGAAATAGTATAGGATCTCCTGCTTGAGGAGGAGGTTGGATTAGAAGACCTCCAAGATCTCTTCCAGCTCTATTCTGATTATTGATTGATTGATTGAATGACCCTAATACTCACAGGGAAGCAGAAATATTTTACCTTCACTGCATTGAAGGGGTTTGCTTAGCAATGTGATGAAAACTATGGGAGCATATGAAAGGTTAATCTGTGTGACCTCTTTCACATACAAAAAAGGAAATTGTTCTTCAGTAACAGCCCAAAGAAATCCACTGGTTTTGCTGAAGTGACCTCCTGCAGATAATTTGATGCTAGACTTGCTGCATGCAATCAGAATGTTAATAAAACTGGAAAGGTTGATTTCTCTATTTCTAGATCAGACGTGTCTTGCTGATAATTTTTACACCCTCTCAGCACTGACTCTCCATATCATTAACACTCTGAGAACATTTTCCTGCATGGAATTAACACCAATTAAAATCTATCTTAGCAACTCTTGCTGAAAAGAAGAGAAAATTAAAATTAAGGCTTATCTTTATGAGTCCAAGTGAGACTCCTGGAGAAAAATGTTCACGAAAAAGTCTGCACCAATGGAGCAGAGAACTTTTCTCCCTTGTCCATCAATGAAGATTTAATGGTGTAAATTCACCCACATTCCCAATATAGCAAGCTATAAAAGAACCAATAAAGGGTGGAAGAAATGCATGAAGTGTTTTTAGAAACCACAGGTCCTTCCATCTTGGAAAAAAATGTAGACTGCCACAGGCTAAGAAACTGGTAGCTTTGCACCATCTACATCTGTTCCCAGAAGCCGTCTGCCTGGCTTGAAAATTCCTAAACTCAAAAAGATTTTTCTCCTACTACATTAAAGGATATCAAAACTGGGTTGTCAAACCTCGTTCGGATGAGTTTATTTTTCTAGGAGATGTAGAACATGTATATCTTCCTGCCTTTTTTTGGGGGGGGAAACATTCTATGTTATCTCAAAGGTGCTTTTTTTAAAGGCAGCTGGACTTTGTTTTTTCCTTGAAGACATTTCACTTCTTATCCAAGAAGCTTCTTCAGTTCTGATTGAATGGTGGAGGATGGAAGGATTTATGTTCCTTGCAGTCTTCTCATCATTAGCTTTCTTTCTGAGAGTCGTTGAGGCAACCTGGAGGTTTATCTGTCCCCTCAGGGTCACCTGAATAGTGCAAATGGGTGAGGGATCTTCTTGGATCAGCTAGACAAACCGTGTTGTAAACAGGAGAATCATTGTATTGTATTGTATTGTATTTTATTATTTGTATGCCGCCCTTCTCCGGGAGGACTCAGGACGGTGAACAATTCAAGGGGGGAAAAAGGGGGAACATAAAAGACAAAATACAAATAATAAAAGTAGACAACAGTCACACAACCATACATGTCGAGAGGGGAGGGAACTCATCACCCCCAGGCCTGCCGGCAAAGCCAGGTTTTGACGGCTTTTCGGAAGGCCTGGAGAGAGGTGAGGGTCCGAATCCCTGTGGGGAGTTCATTCCAGAGGGCCGGAGCTGCCACAGAGAAGGCCCTCCCCCGGGTAATAGCCAGGTGGCATTGGCTGGTAGATGGCACCCAGAGGAGGCCAACCCTGTGAGATCTAATGGGTCTGTGGGAGGTAAGAACAATCATATCCCTGCCCCTCTGTTGAGAGAGAGGGGGGCTTTTCAGTCTTAATGTAGATGGCCTCTTTGACCCCTCTTTCAAACCAGTGGTCCTCTTGGTCCAGAATGTGGACGTAGAATCCTTCTATCTTCTGGTACCAGACACTAGCAAATTGACAAACAGAGATTGACAGCAGCTAATGGCTAGGCATGGCTTTGAAGCTCAGACGAAGGTAAAGGCTAGCAAAAGGAACAGAAGCCATTTGGTGTAATAGTTAAAGGTGTCAGGTTAGAAGCCAGGAGAGCAGAAATTCTAGTTCTACCTTAGGGACAAACCCAACTGAGTGTCTTTGGGTCAATCATTCTTTCTCAGCCTCAAGAAGGAGGTAAGAACAAGCCACTTCCAAAAAGGTTCATACAATGTGGTCATGAAAGCCAAATATCCATGTACACAACTGGATTTTAGCTTGACTTGAAGAAGACTTTTACTACTGCAAGAAAATCCTTTGCTTTGTTCCAGAGTCAACTGCATGGCAAAAATCACTGCATTCTCTGTGAATTTACACCTGTATGAAATTACACTTCACTAAAGCAATTTGGATGGATTGAAGAAACTTTTTGGATGAGAAGCAAAAGGTTTTCAAAGAAAAAAATCACACAAGAAGGTCCAGTTGCCTTTTGGAAAAGCACCTTTGGGACAACCGTGATGTGGGTTATTGAAAATCTCTATACATGTTTGGACCCTGATTTACTTTGTTGACATGAACCAGGGCATCGAATTCACTGCGACAAAGCCACGTGGATTCCTCAGAGTCCTATGGACCAATGTTAGGAGACATCAGGAGAGCAAACTGACTTCACTTGGATGTCCTTCATGCTAAAGGATTCCAGGCTGAGCGATCTCCAGGCTGGGAAATCTTTACAATCTTTCAGCCTAGAAGCACTTTCGCTAACCCTGTTGGAAAATGATCTCTCCCATTTTTTTCCCTTGCAGCACTCCCTAAAAAAGTTATCTTATTCCTTTCCCACACCTGACCTCCTGATAATAGATGGTCACTGAGAGAGAGAAGAAAATGTCCTTCTCCACCCATGTCCTCTAAATGTGGGCAGTGGAGAAGAGTTAGAAGAACTCAGGGGCATGGAAGAAGCTTTTCCATAAAACTGCCCAGCCTCAGGTGAGTGAGCTGTCCAGGGGTGTCTAAGCTTCATAGCTGGACCCTCCAAGCCTGGAAGATGCCTTCTGAATGGGAAGAAAAATGATTGCTTTGCTCTAAAAAAAGCCAAGAAACAGCTGGTGCTTCATGGAGTACATTTGAAAAAAATGCTTTGCTTGAAGAATTTTTATCTAAATGAAGCCCTCCTCTGAAACTTCACACAGCGCTAATATTTAGCAAAAACACCCTTAAATTTTTCTCTAATATATCGATCCAGAAGAAATACAGAAAGACTAGGTTCATGTATGAGGTTAAGATGATTAGTTGTGTTTTAGCACTGTATCTGAAGTCACCTGTTCTGATGTGAAAACCGAAAAAGAGTTCTAGAATAATTTATCCAGATCAGGATGGGTTGTTCCACAAAAGAATGTGTGAATCCCAGCAATAACTTTATCCAGAAATCACAAACCTATTAATTACCACATTGAAAGGTAATGTAAACCTACTGGTTTTGCATAGAGATAGAATAATAGGCTACCTAAATTGGCCACCATCAAGTGATCTTCAGTATAGAAGGCAAGAGGATCAATAACTCTACAGATCTTCTCTAGATTGGCACCAACTCTCTTGGAAGATATAATCTTTGAATTCTGGAAACTGTTAGCAACCCAGTATTGGGTAGATGTTAAAGGATTGGAGTAGGACCAGGGAGTTGTATCTTCAGTCCACCCTGGAAACTTCTGGTGTGAATTTCAGTCCAATCTAACTCAGAGGTGTTGTTGTGGAGATAAAATGAAGGAAAATCTTCATATGAATGAGTTCCCAAAGGATAGTCAGGATGAATTGATAAAACAGCATCAAATACCCAGAGGATCCCAACTTGGAGAGGATGCCATTACAGCCCCAACAAAATCTCAACATTTCTGTTTTTAAACACTCAGAGAGGCACAAGATCACAACACTGACCCACAGCTGTATCTTCCGAGAGGCTGAAGAGGGCCATATTCCCATTATTGCTGCTGGCTCCATTGTCAAAGAAATAGGGTGCATAATTTGCTTGAACTGTAAGTTAAGAGAAAGCAGAATTCAAGGGAGAAGCATTTAATAAGTGGAAAGTTAGTGAATGGACTTCTTTTTGTCTGTATACAAAGCCCAGTTCAACCCCTCAGGTCTGTAAGTCCAATTCACCTCTTCATATCTGAGAAAACTCTGAACATTTCAAAAAATCACTATGCCATTAACAATACAAATTGCTACAAATCTGGCAATGTTTTAAATTTAAACAGAATTTAATTTAGGCACAGGAAAGGAAATAAGGGAGACCTAATCTATCCCCCCAAAATGTTTGCTAATTAAAATTCATCAAATCCCCCGGAATTGCACCAGGGACCCATATTCCATTCAACCTCCAAGGAATTCCTAAGCGATTTAAAAGACGCATCCTGAATTTTGAAAGGGACGCCTTCCCCCCAAATCTTTAAGAAAACAATTACTTACTTGCTACAAGAGAAGAGCAGAACCCAAGGAGGGGTTGGGAAGAAAACAAGGAAAGACCCATTAGATATCATTCTATCCTTAAGTTTTTTTTAAAAAAATAGCCCATTTGAGGTTGCAAACACATCAACAGCCAAAAGGTAGAAAAGAAAAAATAGGAATGAGTAAATCATCTTCTATTTATGCCATTCTTGAGTTGAAAGTCGTATTAGCAGGAAGACACCCACACACCCCGAAATCTTAAACATTTGCCTCAGTCACAACCTGCATAGTTTTGAGAGATTTGGCTCTACTTACCCAGGCAAACGTGCACCAGATTGAGAAACAACGAGGTTGGCAAATGTCGTTTTCGCTTCATCCCCCCTCAGAGAGAGAATCCGTTTCTTCTTAATTTTGGGGAAAGGGGGGGTAGGAGAAATACCCTTCCAATTCCCTGCTTGAAACCTTCTTCAGAAGTTGGGGGGGGGGATGAGGAATCTGGCAGAGTGGCAGGAATAGCTGCTAAGATGTTAAGCGGATGACCAGACTTAATTTTGGAAGCATTGAAAGGCGTTCCTGCCTTCCACTTAATTAGTCCAATTATTCTGCCAACAATGGGAGATTTATTTGCAAGCATTCAGGATCTCTGTTGCTTGGAGCAAGGTCTGCTCAGCAGCGTGCTTGCAATTGTCCAAAGAAACCCTTCCAGACCCAAAAGGCAAGTTGGTTTATCCTTAACTTCTCTTTTTCCCCCTGATGCTTTTGCTTTTCTTCTTCCCAACGCCACTCATACCCCTTCTAAATAAATTTAAAAAATGTTAACAACTCCCAGGATGTTCTGCCTTTTTTTTCCCTCACCAAAACACCTAAGGAGTCATTTCTCAGGACTAAATGAATTTCATCTTGATATTCTTGAATTAGCAGCTGTACATAATATTTTGTTTTCTAGGATCAGGAAATTAATACATTGAACGTGGAGTAAAGGCAGCCAATTCGGAATTGATAAAGAAGCTCACTATTTAGAATTATTTTGTTAATAAGGAGATCCTTTTTTAACTTTAATCCTTCATTGAAAAGACAACAAAGAATTCCATTAGCACAGAGAACTGTAAGAATACAAATCAAAATTGATCTCTTCAATGATGATTTAAGCAAGGCTTTTATTCCTAAATTCATTTTTGGCTTTCTATTTTTTCTTTTAAAAAAATGGATATTTTGGAATCAGTCATGATTGAGATAAATCCATTTTTTAAAATGGGGAATTCATCGTCACAAAGTCAACTTATTCTGGAATTTATAGTTTGGAGAGAAAATATCTTTGCAAATGACTAAATAGATTTTATTTTTCCTATTTAATCACAATTTTATATTGAATCAGGGGAATCACAGATAAACAGAGCAGTCTAAACTGTATTTTTATTTTGAAAATATAACCGATAAACTATTAATCTAAATATGTATTTATTGGAAATCATTGGAAAGATTCTTAAATAAATCTTTTTTTTTAATCAAAGACTTTCTGGAATGTGTTTTGCCCTAAGATAAATACTTTTTAATGGATGGAAGTCAAACATGAGACACTCAGCGATCTCAGCACCAACCTCAAATTAGAAACCATATTAGTAGAATAATTGTAATGGTCTGTAGTCCTATCATTAGAAAGTGTGGTTTGTATCAAGAAAACATTGTGCTGTCATGAAGAATAAATCCATCAGCTCCAGTCACTTCAGGAGAAATGTTCTGGGCCATACATTTCTCTAAATTCTCTACAGTTCAGTAACAAATTAGGACAAAAAATGATATTTCAGGGAAATTGAGATAGAAAAATGCATATTTGAGAAAGAAACTTGTTATGAAAATAAATGTGGAATAGTAGTTGCTATTTTTACAATAATAATAACTCAATGCAGGAATAATAATAACTAATGCAGGAATGAGTTAGAAAGGATGTCAACGTTGGAAGTTGAAGTAAACACACCTCTTAAAGTTGTCGCGATTGAGAAATATTGATCTAGAGGCAAGCTATGAAGAAGAGGAGAACACGGTCCTCCATCAGCAATTGTTAAAAAGACAGATCTAAAATAATGATCTAAAATAAGAAATTCAGAGTAGATGTTGTCCCTTACCCCACTGTTCAACTTCTATTTCCTTATTGCACTTAACGATAATATTGTCAGGTGCGAAAGATTAGTGTTCCTATTTTTTTAAAATGTAAATACCTCTTCTGGGTTGGACTGGATAAGAACCTTCCGTGATGCCTGCTAATCCTCCTCAGAAGCCCAGCACCATCTGTCCCCCTGGCCAAAGTGTCAATAGAGGAATTAGGTCGTTCTTGTCACGGAGTGACTCTTGACTTTGGGGTTGCTGGAGATGGATGCTGAATCGAGTGGAGATGGGGTGGACCCAGGGCAGGGGAGGGGAAGGGAGGGTTTCTTACAAAGCTTTGACAGTTGCATTTAATAGCGAAAACAGATGCTGAGGTATTAAAGCCCCTCAGGTTGGATGGACACATATATCCTGTTCTTGATAGAAGGTTCACTCTGTCTGAATCACCTCAATTTATTACATTGAATGATAGATGCAAATTGGATCAGATCTTAACAGAATAACGAAGTTGGAAGGGTCCCCTCTGCTAGACCAGAGACCCTAGGCCATTTCAGACAGATGGTTGACCAATCTCTTCTTAAAAATCTCCAATGTTGTAGCCTACAATTTCCAGAGGCCAGTTGTTTCATTGATTAATTGTTCTCAATGTCAGGAAATTACTCTTTTCTAGGTTGCTTCTCTCCTTGGTTAGTTTCCATCCATTGTTTCTTGTCCTGCCTTCAGGTACTTTGGAGTGACTCCCTCTTCTTTGTGGCATCCACTGAGATATTGGAACACTGCTATCATGTCTCCCCTGGTCCTTCTTTTCATTAAACTAGACCTATCCAATTCAAAAGTCCCAAAGCACTCCTCCCCCCCCCCAAAAAAAAAATCAGGTCAGAAAACAAGTGTGGGCTTAAACAAAATTGTGAATGATCCAAACCAGAAACTTTCAGAGAAAAAGATGAATACAGAAGGTTGAATCTTTTCTTCCAATTATGTACTTCTGGTCACTCTGAGGAATTCTGGAAGAAAGAAAATTTCACTCGAAAAGGATGCAGTGACCTGAAGTGAATGAAGAGCTATTGCTTTTAACATTTGTCAGAACTCAAGAGTTCACCCCTTTTTTATAATGCTATTGAAAAAATCAGGCTACTTCTGCTGCCGGCTGCCTGCAATTTGGCAGTTTGATTCTCACCAGCAAAAGGTTGACTTAGCCTTCCATCCGTCTGAGGTGGGTAAATTGAAGTCCCAAATTGTTGGACAATAGGCTGACTCTGTAAATTGCTTAGAGAGGGCTGTAAAGCACTGTGGTATATAAGTCTAAGGGCTATTGCTATATATGTATATATGTATCCACACAGACACACACAGAGAGTGCAAGAAACATGCAAATTTAACATTATGATAGCAGGTAGAATTTGTCTAGTTCTAAGTTGAGAATCTTTTATGATGTTGATGTATGTTTTGAATTTTGAATGTCTTTCTGCCAATGATTCTTAGTCCAATTTAAGCTTTCCCCACCGCTCACAGGAGCCCCCGTCAAAATGTGTGTGGGGGAGCAGGGGAAGGGTCCCTTTCCCAGCATTGAAGGCAGGACTGATCCTGAGAAACCAGCCTTGCATCTTTCTCCCTCCCCCGAAGGGAAACCGGGTTCAAGGCTTCCAAGTTAAAGAAGAGTCAGGTAGCTCAGCTTGGAGTCAGACTTAACTTACATTCATTTAGTGACCATCCAAAGTTATGACAGGGCTGAAACAAGCAACCTATGATCAGTTCTTACACATATATGATGACGATCATCACATCACCCCAGGGGGTCCGTGAGTTTGGCAACCAGATTATATTTAGGAGCATTGCAGCATCTCTCTCTCTCTCTCTCTCTTTCTCCCTCTCCCTCTCTCTCTCTCTCTCTCTCTCTCTCTCGGCACAGTTTTCCCCAAAGTGACACCCTTCAGAAGGACTGAACTCTTGACGGAAGCCAAAAATCACGGACAGACCAGAATAATGACAACAACAACAACAGGCTAATTTGCAGCTGATACTGTGTATTTGTCTAAGC